TTATTATGATCTAGGTTGGTGAAAGGTATAGTAATGGACCATGGTGCCAGGCATCCAGACATGAAGAAACGTTCGGAAGACTGCTACATTCTCACATGCAACGTTTCTCTAGAATACGAGAAAAGGTAAGCTATTTCCTAAAAAGTATCTACACAGCAATTTAATAGGATGTATCTTACAGCAATTTAACCTTTACCATGCTGCCTTATTTCAGCAAATATATCCCACGCAACTGGCTTCTTTTCAAAGAGTGCAAAAAATGATATGCCTGGACTAAATAATTAATATCTCAATAACTACTGAATGAATCTGGATAAAATTTTCACAAAGGGAAGATACAGTGGCCTGGCTCATGAAAAAAATGTTCTTATGAATATTTTTCGTACAATAACATGACTGGGCATAAATATACCATGAATACTCCTCCGAAATCCGCCGCTCCGCCCCTTCGTCTGGTCAGAATTCAAATCTTAATTTGCAGCGATCGAATGTTCAATTTCAAAGAGCTCGAAATCGTAGCCCATTTCCTCCACATTTTCGTTGTGATCGTATTTGTCCGCCATTTTGTACGATTTGTTCACTTAAAACGGCTAAAACACTGTTTAAATTGTTGAATTGAGAATTATTTTTGAAATATCGCCATTTTTAGGTCAACAGGAAGTCATGTTAGGCACTGAATAAATCGGGCAATCTAATTGGACAATATGAATGGCGCGAAAAAGTAAAGTTTTTAAAAGTTTGAAATTGGGCGTACGGGTCCGCCGGCAGTTGTGAGAGACATTTTAGTCTCGGCTGATGCGTTCGCCGGCAGCACGCTAAAGGTTAATAGGACATAACTAACAGCAATTTAATAGGACGTATCTAACAGCAATTTAATAGGACGTAATTAACAGTGATTTGATAGGACCTATCGAACAGTAATTTAAAAGGATGTATATAACAGTGATATAATAGGATGTATCTGGCATTCTGGCTGAAGTATGTAATTAGCAGTGATTTGATAGGACATATAGGGGTTTAAGAGAATGTATCTCACAGCAATTTAGTATTACAGGGGTTTCACTAGAATTTCTCACAACAGGCTAAATAAATGAAAACAACTGGAAAATTTAATGGAAATCATAAATCTAACATGGAAAAGTTGAAAAGACCCTAAAAACAACCAGTGAAAATCGCCTGTTGTCTGCTGCTAATGAAACCCCTGTTACATATCTAACAACGATTTAATCGGTCATATCCTCCTGACGTATCTTAATAAAAGCAATTTGATATGATAGGATGTATCAAGCTGTGATTTAATATTACATATCTAACAATTATTTAATAGGACATATCCTCCTGATGTATCTAAATAAAAGCAATTAGATATTTTAGGATGTATCATGCTGTGATTTAATATTACATATCTAACAATTATTTAATAGGACATATCCTCCTGATGTATCTAAATAAAAGCAATTAGATATTTTAGGATGTATCATGCTGTGATTTAATATTACATATCTAACAATTATTTAATAGGACATATCCTCCTGATGTATCTAAATAAAAGCAATTTTATACGATGTGATGAATCTAACTGCGATTTAATAGAACATTTCTAACTGATATGACGCACCAAACAGGACTTGTTTATATAATTCACTCAACATGTTTATTTTTCAATTTTCCCACAACAGGCATAACCAATGATAACAACATGTAAATAAGGGTTATGTACTGGGAGGTTTTGGATATGGGGTTTTTCCAGAGGGAGATGTGCATATCTACCTGAGGGACCGTAGGGACTGAAGGTAGATGTGCATATCTCACGAGGGATGAACTCAATATCCAAACCGACCGTACATAACTGCTTTATCCTATATCCTATACCAAGTAGAGTTTTCAGGGGCATATGGCCATTTCAACAGTACAAGGTGTAAAAATAAACAAATCATTCATATGCAAAGTCATTTTATTGAATTTCTACTACTTACCGGAAGCGGGAAGATATGCACCGAAGCGGGAAGATATGCACCGAAGCGGGAAGATATGCACCGAAGCGGGAGATATGGCGGGAGATATGGAGGTTCTGGATATGGAAACCTCAAAATCAGGATACGGGATATATCTTACCAACTTATCTCCCTAAAACTCTACTTGGCATAGGATAAATAATATTATCCTTGCAAAATTCTACAAAACAACGCATGTTTTTTTTTTGATAAATACAACCAGAGAAAATTGTACATTGCCTGCTTTTATGGACACCTCAGTTGATACCTCTTCAACAAAATAGAATTTTTTTTAAAGATAAATTTATTCCTTTAGTTAACAAAAATAGCCATGCGATTGATTGCCAAACTTTTGTAAAAAAACATTAGAGGAAATTTTCAAAATCAAAATGTAAGTGTCATCGATCCATAATGTTATTATTTTCAGTGAAGTTAACAGTGGTTTTTTCTACAAAAGTGCTGACGAGAGAGAAAAACTTGTGCAGGCTGAAAGAAGTTTCACAGATGATAGGGTGAACAAAATAATTGCCTTCAAGAAGAAAGTTTGTGAGGGAACGGATAAAGGCTTCATTGTCATAAATCAGAAGGTAAATTAATACACATCTTATGTCAATCAGGATTTTCATCAGATCATTTCTACGTATTTATTTCAGTGTTTTCTTAAGACTTAGAACAAATTAATACAGATCTTCGGTCAATCAGGGTTATCATCAGATCATTTCTACATATCTATTTCAGTGGTTTATTAAGCCTAAGAACAACTATTTACTGAATCTGTTTTCACCATGTTAAAATGATGAAAATTTGACATTAAGACTAATAAAGGTAAAAATTATGATTTGGCTCCCTGTTTAGAAACAACCCTGAGTGATAGCTGATTTATATATTTAAACTTTTGACTGTGTTGTGTATAACACACCAAAGGATTTTGCATGTATTCGGAGATTTGGTGAGCAATTCATTCAGCCTGGACTGATTATGAGCAACAGTATTTTCTTGATAAAGCAATTTTTGTGGCTGGCATTTCAGTTGTTACACATGCAACTACATTGCATTTTCAGGATGACTTGTTACTCCCGTGTCGGGACTATCTGTTACCTTTGGTTTCATATTAAGGGCAATTCGCATCGCTCTTCTGTACCTCCTATGGTACAAAACATAGATCCAGGGATTCACTCCACTATTAAGTTGCAAAATAGCTTCCGAGATAGACATTATAACACCATTAACATTGAGTGTTAACATGATCATGGCTTGCCCATACATTATTACGAAGATAATATATACAAGTGTTGTTGTTCTCAGGGCTGAATGCTCCTTTGCATAAGCCACAGCTCTTGCATTGTCAATGCTGGCCAATTGACTAATGATCGCCCTTCTGTGTTTTATTGACACCCAAGAGATTCTTGAATACATAATTATTGTCAGTATAACTACAGCAAGGATGTTCAATTTGTAAAATGTTGAGTAAATCGGGTTGAGGGTGCTTTTCATTGTACAACGCTGCCCAGGTTCATAATCATTAAACCCATCTATGAACAGGAGAAGGTTAAGTGAAATTGCGTAAGTCCAGAAGGTTACGAGAATGATCTTTGCATTCTTAGCAGCCATCATGGTGGAGTAACGTAATGGGTGTATGATTGCTATGTAACGCTCTATCGCAATCCCTAGCAATCCTAACACTGATATCCCATTGCACGAAAGGATGAGAAATTTTTGTACTAAGCATAAGTACTTGGATTGTACATGTATATCATTCATATGAGGCAAGATCAAGTTTGTGATCATAGATAACGGCAGTGCAAGGACACCTGTAATTAGGTCGATCATTGAAAGATGTGCGGTAAACATATTGGTAACTGTATGGAGGGAAAGAACCTTGTAAACCATCCACAGAACGAGGCTTTTGCCAGTGATGATAAATATGATGATGAATGTATAAATCACCAAGAACATGTATACATGGTTGGTCGCCATCTCTTGTTCAAGTGTACTGTTCATTTTGAAATCTAGTTCTGAATGCCTTGTGGTTCTGAGCTGTAACTTAAGTGTCCTATAATTCTATGATGATAGTATAAATATCCAAGAGCATGTATGCATTGTCGGCCACCATCTCTTTTTCAAGTGTACTGTTCATTTTGCAATCTAGTTCTGATTGCCTCGTGGTTCTGAGCTGTAACTTAAGTGTCCTATAATTCTATGATGATTGTATAAATAGCCAAGAGCATGTATGCATTGTCGGCCACCATCTCTTTTTAACTGTACTGTTCAGTTTCCAATCTAGTTCTGAATGCCTCATGGTTCTGAGCTGTAACTTAAGTGTCCTATAATTCTATGATGATTGTATAAATAGCCAAGAGCATGTATGCATTGTCGGCCACCATCTCTTTTTAACTGTACTGTTCAGTTTCCAATCTAGTTCTGAATGCCTTGTGCTTCTGAGCTGTAATCTTAATGTTCTATGATTATTGAGTCTGTAAGTAGAGTCAATAGGAAATATTGCCGTTGTTGTTTACTGGGGGGTATCGTGATGCAACAACATCAAGTTGTTGCATCAAGATGGCGAACCTTCCGGTGATAGATTTTCATAACATATTTTGTTTTCCCAATTTAAACCCATTTCTAAGACAAGTTTCTCAATAACCATACACGTGCAGTTAGTGCACGATCTATATTTTAAATAACTGCCATTGGTATACATGTAGCAACATCAAGAAGCGATTAATTCACGGTTCTAGTTCCTCACTATTGAAACAACACCAAACCGAAGATGCAAAAAAACACTCTTTAGATTTGAGCAATGATGCAACAACACCAATGAATGGCATATTGTTGTTAAACCATAATGTAATAGGATTTAGGTCCCAAAAAGGTAAATTGGGAGCGTTACACTAATCCCAGGGGTCGTAATATTATATTGGACATTCATTTTTTATAGTATTGTTCATCTAAAAAACGTGTCGCTTCATTTCATAAACTTTTATACCTAGGTGAACCTTTATCAAATATACCCATTCATAAACATATAATCAAATATACACTCCCCTCCAAAAGTTTGGCAACCTTAGCACCCCCCCCCCCCCCCCCCATTGAACTATGTGTTGAGACCTCTTTATATTTGAATTTTTATTTACATAACCTACGAGGAAAATACTTTGAGATTGATGGAAATGTAAATTTACTTTATTTCCTATGCCTCCAAATTTTCCAAATTTTTTCCTCAATAACAATGGGTTGAAAATTGATGATAAATCTAATGAATTTTTGAAAATCCACATTCCCATGTAAACCTATGGGAAATGGTAGGTTTGCAGCAAGTCATATGACAGAATATTCATCCATCCGAGTTCTTGTTATAAAAAAAATAGGTTGCAGTTGAATTTGCTAACTTAATTGAATGAAAAATTGATACGTTTCTTCAGGTTTCAAAAAGTTATAGATCTTCAAAGTTAAAATTATTTTTCAAAAAACTCCCATTGAAATAACACAGGAGGCGAAAAGGATTTTCTGTAACTGTAGTATTCAAAAAGTGAGCTGAACACTCAGCGTACGTTCAAAAAGTTAGGTAGTTCAATTTTCTATATAAAAATTATTTTTTGATGAATCTTTTACTGGATAGATATCCTGAAATCAGATTTGCCCCGAACACACCGATGACTGATATCTGTTGACTTTCCATATTAGTTCTTTGTAAATAAAATCAGACCAAAATCAGAAATATTGACTTGACCAAAACATGAAAAGTGTAAAAAGCTAAAGGTAATATTTCCAATAAACATGGCTAAACGGGAAATCTATTTTATTCAATAATAAATCAATGCGATGATTTATTCCATGCATTCCTTTTGGGTTTGGACCATTGGGATTTGAACGAATCGGGCGACCGGGCTTATTTTATTATGTTTAAGTTATCTAGTTCAAAGTAGTTTCAAGATTTGGGACATCCTCCGAACACAAATTGGGACCACGTTTGTGTCTGTTATGATGTCATTTAGAAAATGAGTTACTTAGTATAAAAAGTATAAAATCACATGTACTACAATATCATAATATGTGATTTAATACCATTACTATGTATATCGTTTGGCTTGTATATCTTTTCATTAACTTTGATAAAGACTTTGACGTTGTTGCATCAGCACATTGGTGTTTATCGCTTCTGGATGATGCTACATGAATATCAATGGCAGTATTTTAAAATATAGATCGTGCGCTAACTGCACGTGTATGATTATCGAGAAACTGGTCCTAGAAATGGGTTTAAATTGGGAAAGAAAAATATCTTGCGAAAATCTATCACCGAAAGCCTGGCCATCTTGATGCAACAACACCGTGTACCCCCCAGATACCCCCTCAGATACCCCCCAGTGTTAAATGATGAAGATCTAACTATTCATATATTTATTTCAAAGTGTAGCAATATAATATATAATTTGTATTGACTCACTGAAGTCATTATTTCACAATTATCACAGTCAATTATTAGTCTCTTTAGTGTACATTAGGGATCCCACGATTGCTCGATGCACCAATATAATCGCTAGAAATCACCTCCGATTTGATTAATCGATATGGATCCTCTATTTTCGATATTATCGATAATCGTTTTGCAAATCAACTTACCCGTTAAGTAAGTAAAAGAGCTCTATTAAACCAAAATTGACACAGCAAAACTCCGGGAAAAATTAAAAATATTTTGAAGAGCTCACATGACGCGCCACATATTTTCTTGATTCAAACCGAACGTGAACTTTTTAGCAATAAACGGATTTTCAATAATTTTGCGAACATTTGTGATTTTAGATGCCCTATGTGCATTTCCACACCAAGCATTATACCATTAATTATCTGAATACATAATAAATGCGATAGGACCTTAGACGTATCTTTATTTTTATGTTTTAAGATGTTATAGTAGATTTCCAATTTGCGTTATTTTTAGCGAACTACAATCAAACATGACGTTCGGATATTTAATGAATAGCGAAACCTCGGCGAGATTTAAATCCCGTAAATTTGCTTTAATATGGAGAACACCATCGCAATAAACACTACCCAAAAGGTAAGTCTGAGGTGTGGAAGTCTTTTAAAAACCCAACATTCAATAACAACACAACTTTCTATGCTCAGAAGGGTAACTTTGAATTTTTTTTAGCGGGGGGACTCAAACCCCCCCCCCCATACACAGACATTTACATGAATATGTGTATCGTATTGTTTGTATCCAATCGTTTTCATAATATCGAGATACGTATCGAATCGAAAAAAATGTATCGTGGGATCCCTAGTGTACATGTACTTTATAAAAGATAAATAAAAACTGTACTTAGTTTTAAATAACTTAAAGGCAGAATCAGATCTATAGGGGTGGAAAAAGTACAAGCAATACAGTCGATATGTTACGACATGCGCAAAGCTCTATTTAGTGATATTTTCATTTCAAATATGGCGGCCAATCCGATGTCTGACGACCCTTACAAAGAATCTAGGCAGTGTGAATTTTTACCTCCTGTGAAATAACAACTGGAATTTAGTAGTTGTTTTGTATTTTATTATCATTCTGCATCTTAATTCTATATGATGTGGTGTTAAAATGTCAGCAGAAATAAATATCCATACGATAATCAAGTGAATTAGATAACAGATTCTTCGAAAACCCATCTCCTGCTAAGAGTGTAAAAACTTGTATTAACATGCTCAAAAGTGCCACTGTGCACATCAATGTCAAGCTAAATCAATGTTGTGTCTAAAACAGGTACTCAAAACAGCTTGTCATTCACATATACACGCTTAGCAAACACGGCAAAATGAACTGAATCTTGGAATTTCGTTCGAGAGCTAGTAATGTTTGCTCCTTTCTTCGTCATAAGTATTCATCAGACTTCACGCATGCTCAGAAGAAAACCATCAACCAATAACGTTTATTAATCAATTTTGCGCATGCGTCTTACAAGGGTAAAGAAATTCGTATCCATAAACGAACCAATTTGAGATAACCCGATATCAGTGGGAGAAATCTGACGATCTACGAACTCACTTCAAAAAATCAAATGCGGACTGACGGCGTATTCTACTATGCTGGGATCTATGATTTTCAGTATAGATAAAGTCTTCTATGATCTTTCGAATGAGGTAAGTCTCTAGTTCGAAAGACAATCGCATCAACTTGAACAAAAGTTGAGTTTTGACGAAAAATTTTAACATGCGCAGAAGTCCCATTTTCGTTGTACCATATTGACTGAACATGTACAACTGACTTACCAATCTATTTTTTACAATCTGAAAACAATATCTCCCAAAATATTCATGATATGATATAAATTGGTGAAGTTATTAGAAAAATGATACATTATTGTAAAAATCTTTAGTTTTCCTGAAATAAAGTGTGCACTTTGGGGATATTTAGAAAATAGACATGACAAGGAATGACACGAGCCAGAAATATTGTAACATGTAAAATTATCAGTTTGATGTACCATTGGCAGAAAAATGAATACAGTATTTTGAATGAATGACAAATGAGCTTTTAGACTCTTTTAGAACTCTTTTCTAAATAACCATTAATCAGAGTACTAATAGTTTGCAAAATTATCAAGATTTTCTTTCTTCATTCAAAATAAAGCTCCAGTAGTATGTGTGATCCAGAATGCAATACATGTAAAATCTTCTATAAAAAATAATAAATAATACAATGCATGTTTGAATTAGCAATTTAACAAATTAAGATATTGTCTTATTCAAATTTTAGTTCTCCATTATTACTGAGAATTGTTCTTGCGCAAATAACATGTAATAGTCCAATGTTTTACCAAAATTAGGCATTCCCACCTTGTAGGATAACGGATATGCGATATACTAATTTTTTTCTAATGGTAAGAAATATTTGTAATTGTATACTGTCTAACAAATAATTAATTGCAAACAAAATTAGACATTCCCACCTCATCAATATCTGATTTGATGTTTTTTCATGTGGTCTCAACAATTTGTATTGCTTGATATCATTTAACAAAGAATTGATTGAGAAAAATAAAATCCTAAACCTTTAAACTTTTTTAAAAATGAAACAAAATATGATGAAATTCCTAAATATTCCCAAATGATATGATTTTTCCCATTTCATTTCCCATTTTCATATTATTAACATAGAGAACTAAAACATACCAAAGAGACAAGAGCATCAATGAATGAATCACTCTTTAAAAAAGGTTATTGGAAAACATTCCATACATTTTTAAAGACTACCAAACTTCTAAAAAACTATTAGACTCACCTTGTGTTATGTGCTACATGTGTCTTAGCTGCTCAGTAGCGTATGATATATTGTTTTCTTGTTTTGGAATCTAATAAATTATAATATCCAAAGTACTGTACATGTTAGAAGTAATTCCTGATACGTGTCTATTGTTGTGCAAAATTCAACTATGAATTGACAATTAGGTCATATTATGCATTAGAATTTTATCAAAAAAGCATTATGCAGTATTAAAGGCAGCTCATTACCACATTCAAATCCAGGGAAATAACATTTTCAGATAGTAAGATTATTTCAGCGTAAAAATTTTGACCTTAATTAGACTATATCCTATTTAGTCTGAATATATTCAGACTATAAGCAACCTATCTTAAGATATGGTAATTCAAAATTGTGATGGGACTCTCACTCAAAAATAGGATGACTTCACATTGTGAAATTTTGAGTTGCCTGGAAGAGTATCAGTGGGCACAACTTATATGAAATAAACACTTTAAATACCATTTATGACATTACACTTGACATCACCCTTGTGATATGAACACATATCGTTTCTTTGGGAAACTAAAAAACAAATAATGGCTTCATTGAATGCTTGTGGTAATACTTAGAGTGCTACTATTTGGCATGCTGCTTGTGTTGTGCTTCAAATGCGATATTTATTACTGTGTTTTGTTTAATATAATACATTTGTATGAATAATTATCAATTTTTTTTTCTTATAGGGAATTGATCCAATGTCTTTGGACATGTTTGCCAAAGAGGGAATCGTAGGTCTGCGACGTGCCAAGAGACGTAACATGGAGCGTTTGTCTCTGGCCTGCGGGGGTACTGCTATGAACTCAGTTGATGATCTCACTCCGGACTGTCTCGGTCAAGCTGGTCTAGTTTATGAACATGTTCTGGTAGGATTTTAGTTGTTCTACATATAGCTTGAAATATTGTCTCTGAGATATCTTGAAATGTGTGACTGTTTTAAGCTTGTTTATGTATATCCAAAATAAATTGTATTTCGTTTGTTAGCAGAAGTAAATTTACAATTTTAATATTTATTTATGTTTATTTTAGGGAGAAGAGAAGTTCACATTTGTTGAAGACTGTAAGCACCCCAAGTCAGTAACCCTCCTGGTTAAAGGGCCAAACAAGCACACACTCACACAGATCAAAGATGCCATAAGGGATGGACTCAGGGCTGTCAAGAATGCTTTGGAAGATGGTTAGTATACTTGCCTGTAGCCAGCTTTTACCAGGAGGGGGAGCTTTTTTCCAGGGGGGGGGCTTTTTTACAATTTTGGCTGAAAATCATGCAAATTCTCAGAATGGTGAAAACTGCATGATTTTTAAAGAATTTCTGGCTAAGCTCCCCCTTTGGCTACAAGCTTGGTATATTTTCTTAGAATTAAGGCTCTGATGCTGCATCGTAATGGAGGTGTTGCACAGTTCTTTGGCCTTGGTCAGCATGTACAGTTATTCAAAAAATATTGGTGTTCCTGTAAGTTTAGTAAGCAAAATATCAATTAAGACTAAAGTAACAAATGAAATTAATACTATATAAGTAGCGAGTGATGATGTTGGCAAAATTGATGCTCCAAAGTCTCATTATCTTATAATTGTTATTTTGGATACCATGTAATTATGATATTGTACTTGCAATTACATAATGCCATTAGCAGTGTGATTTATCATATAAACTTGCTATTGATGATGTTGGCAAAATTGATGCTCCAAAGTCTCATTATCTTATAATTGTTATTTTGGATACCATGTAATTATGATATTGTACTTGCAATTACATAATGCCATTAGCAGTGTGATTTATCATATAAACTTGCTATTGATGATGTTGGCAAAATTGATGCTCCAAAGTCTCATTATCTTATAATTGTTATTTTGGATACCATGTAATTATGATATTGTACTTGCAATTACATAATGCCGTTAGCAGTGTGATTTATCATATAAACTTGCTATTGATGATGTTGGCAAAATTGATGCTCCAAAGTCTCATTATCTTATAATTGTTATTTTGGATACCATGTAATTATGATATTGTACTTGCAATTACATAATGCCGTTAGCAGTGTGATTTATCATATAAACTTGCTATTGATGATGTTGGCAAAATTGATGCTCCAAAGTCTCATTATCTTATAATTGTTATTTTGGATACCATGTAATTATGATATTGTACTTGCAATTACATAATGCCGTTAGCAGTGTGATTTATCATATAAACTTGCTATTGATGATGTTGGCAAAATTGATGCTCCAAAGTCTCATTATCTTATAATTGTTATTTTGGATACCATGTAATTATGATATTGTACTTGCAATTACATAATGCCGTTAGCAGTGTGATTTATCATATAAACTTGCTATTGATGATGTTGGCAAAATTGATGCTCCAAAGTCTCATTATCTTATAATTGTTATTTTGGATACCATGTAATTATGATATTGTACTTGCAATTACATAATGCCGTTAGCAGTGTGATTTATCATATTAACTTGCTATTTTAGGATCTGTGGTAGCTGGTGCTGGGGCATATGAAATTGCTGCTCATGCTGCTCTTATGAAGTTCAAGGACACTGTGAAAGGTCGAGCCAGGCTTGGTAAGTGAAAGACTGATATAGATATACAGTTCAAATTCAGAAATGTGAAAGAAAATTAAAATCTACTTATCTCCTATATGCTGGTAACACAGGAGCTCTGGTTCAGAAGGAATTTTCAAGATGGCCATTGAATTTAAAAATGGCCACCATTTTTCGTGAAAATCATAATGTTTGATAACTTAAATACCTGTTAATGGATATGGTTCAAACTTTATTTGCTGATGCCTAGAGACACAGGAGCACAGCTCGAAAAAGAATTTTTAAGATTCTTATTTTCAAATAGCGGCCATTTTTTGAAAAAAAATGTAATCCTTGATCAATCAAATACCAGTCGACGGATTTTGGTTCAAATTTTATATGCTGATGCTTAGAGACAATTGAGCTCTGTTCTAGAAGGAATTTTCAAGATGGCAGCTATTCATCAAAACATGTTTTGTTCGGTTGATTTGTTACTCCGTGGAGATTGCTATTTTCTAATCTTTTGAATGTTACAGGTGTCCAAGCTTATGCAGACGCCTTGCTGATAATCCCCAAGATCTTGGCAATCAACTCTGGCTTTGATGCACAAGAGACCATAGTTAAACTGCAGGAGGAGTATGCAGCTGCCAATCAACCTGTTGGTCTAGATATATCATCAGGTAAAGTCTTTGAAAGTGTTACTATCCACATTTTATTATAGAGATACACCTTCGGTTTCAACCTTATTTAATTAATCTTAGCTTGCTAAAATTGGTGTATACAATATTTCTGGAGATCACATTAGGTTTCTTTTTATAAATATCTTGTATGTTTTTTACCAAATTTGGCTCAGTTGATCTCCATTTTGCCAAGTGGAATTCTACAGTATGTAACTCAAATTGCACTTTTCCCTACTCCAAAAATGATAAATTACATATATGGGTCTTGGGACCCCTAATACATGTATATGTAAAAATTGTACTTGATCAAAAATATTTCTCATTAATTGATTAATTAATTGATCCGAGTAGAATGAGTTTTTCTAGCTGTTTAATTGACTTTGAATTTTTACATGTAAGCTTGCAAATCCAAAATTCTTCCGGTTTGTCTCACCTTAATTGTATTTTCATTTTCATAGGGGAAGCATTAGTACCTTTAGACGCTGGTATACTGGATAACTATAGAGTGAAAAAACAGCTTTTACATTCTTGGTAAGTTTAACTAGTACTTCATAAAAGCTTTATAAAATATGATACTGAAGTTATATAACTTAATCGAAGCAATTAAATGTTGTCCAACAGTTTTGGAAAATGGTATTAATTTCATTTGGTTTAATCCCACTTCACCCCATCCATATAAAGAAATTAAAACATGATTATTTGCCTTCACTTTAAAAAAAATCAACATCTGGTCCCTCCACTAAATAAAATTTTTTTTTTTAGTTATTGACAATACTGTTAGCATAGGAGAACTTTCTAGAAAGATGGCAAAATAGATGTCAGTAGTAGTGTTTGGTCTATAGTATTATTATTGCACTTTTAATTCCTCATTTATAACTCACTTGAATAAATGTTTAATAAAGAATGCTCTTTTTTCCAGTACTGTGATAGCAAGCAATTTACTCCTGGTGGATGAAATCATGCGAGCTGGAATGTCTTCCCTTAAAGGATGATCTTGACATAATATAGGACTCTTAGTATTATCTAGTATCAGTGTTATTATCTATTTGCCTCTATCAGTGCTTGGATGTCATGACATTTGTCTCCTGTAAAATGGACAGATGTTTGATAATGTGGATGCTACCTAAGTACTTATACAGTACTGTTAAACCTATGATGATGAACACCTCCATAAGTGGAACACTTTTCCAAGTCCCATAACTCAAAACTGGACCTCTGTTAGTTGAACACCCTCATTTGTGAAACACTTCAAAGTTCATTGACCCATTTCTTTATAACGTCAAATTAACTTCTGTAGGTGGAACATCTCCAAAGTTGAACACTTTTAGACGTACAAAAGGTGGTCAACTAACACAGGATTTGGCGCACATCATCGTAAAATACTCCTTCCCATTTGACACGTGTGTTCAGTTAAACCGAGAGATACATGTACTTGTTAAAAAATTAGAAATTTTTGCAATCGATGAAAGAGACAATGTTTGCTTTGTGTTTTGTGTAACCAAATTAAGATGAGTGTGAAATCACTAAAACAAGACATTCAAGTACAAGTTACAATAAAATACAATTATGCAGTGTTCATACTTAATTTGAAATAATATTAATGTACTACATATTGAATCGTTGTGAACATTCAATGAAATGACCTGGTTAGTTTTTCTGTTTTGTCACCTATTTAAAAAAATATTTAATTTCATCTCATATTTTATTTTGCTGCATCCACTGCTGAAACGTGTCCAGTTTTTGCCAAAGAGCAGAGTAACAAGAATGTTCAGTGTCTCAAGTTTTTTATTATTAAGTTAAATTGTTTTGTGAAATATAAAATGATGTGGTTTGCTGAGTTGTAAGAATGTATATTCATTTTTTGTACAATTTTCAAATGTAAATTAAATAAACAACTTTTGTATATTATTAATGTGAAAAATTGTTCTTATGTTTATTCTGTTATTGTCATCAAGGGTGGTATCGTTTCCAGTAGTGGAGTAGTGACATATTTAGTTTCCAACTTTTGCTGTCGACGGTGTTCGGCGGACAACGCCTGGGATAAATGGCAGGTCGTGACATTTTGCATGTTAGTATCTTGTTCTTGATTTTCCAAACCAGGATACAGTCGATCAGAATCCAGCTAAATAAGTAAAATTGCAATAACTACGCTTTACTACATCATATTACTCAAATAATCCTAATAAAATCTAGCACTTTATAAATATATACATTGTGACCTATAACATAGAAACTCATCTCTACGTCCAATCATTGATCATGTCTTGTGAACTGTTCGCAAACAATGTCGATGTTTGCGTTTCCACTAATGACAGGATTACCACGAATTTCCAGTGTCCAGTAACGGATCTATGTTTCTTTTCATAACTTGTACTCTACGGGTAGGGAAGGTATCGTAGGGAATTGCCTTTTGCAAGAGTTTCATACACAATAATTGTGCTTCTTTAAAAGAGATCGTCATGTATACTCCGAGTTTGAGAGAATCCTTTGATCTAGCCATAACCAATCAGAATTTGGTCGATTAAAATCTAGTTACCCAAATCAAAAAATCATTCACTGAATTTTATACGTTCATATGTCCCCGCATTTATTTCATAACTGAAACTCTCATTAAAGGCCATGGCAGCTACCATCACTCAGTTCTAGTTATCTAAAATGCGGGGTAAAATGTAATATGGCATCCTAGTCACGAGCTTGAAATAAACCTTCAACCACTCTTCTTCACGGACTATGTCTAGGTACGCCCCTGAAGTACATATATTTGAACATCCACGTTCTACAACCAATCTTGTTCCAGAGAACTGGAGAACGCGAAGTGGCATATTAGAACGAGGGTAAAACAAGGTCCCGTGGATACATTTGGGCATCGCGTTAGCACTGTTGCGAACAAGAAGAATGTTTGTACACTAATAACGAAACCCTTTAACTACTTAAGAGAACAACTCGGAGCAAACAAGAACCAGGCGATTGTTTCTATTGTCCAAAACAAAAGATGTAACAACTTTTAGAGTGACAATCGTATTTCTTATCTCACCTTACGAGCATAATAATATGCTTTAGCACCTCGAGCGCAAAGTCTAGATCGGTAAAGGTCTCTTTTAAGAAGCCAAACGAATGTTACGGGTGATATTTCAACATTTGGGGATAAAGATGATCACTAATCATCCGCAAGAAACTTCGCAAGCTTCGAAACTTGCAGTGTACCGAGAGCAGAAGAAGCTATCACATAGACTAGATAAAATATCAATATGTGAGGAAAGAGCACGGAAACACAGCAACGCCTATCAGAGACGCGTAGAGTATGAACTATTTGGCCACCCTGTACGTAAATCCACAGGGCGGTACAATAAAAGCTACAAAGAAAAACGAAATCGTGTGTTAGATACCAAAAACGGGACGGAGACCCATTCTATGGTAAAATTACCAACTATAAAGCAGGATGCGGTACGGTCTCGAAGATCTAAGAAGCGCAGGGTCCAGTCCCCAGATATCGCTGTATTTCCGAACATTTCGGCTGCCCAAAGCGTGGATAACATCCTCGATGAAAGGCAAGTGAAGTACATGCCAAGAAATGTTGATATTAAAAAGGAACGAAGACCAAATGATTCGTTTCAGAGGTTTATAACTGAAAAACAATCCAACTCTGAAAATGATGGTAATCAGAAGCCCCTATTACAAAGTACAGAAGTATCTGGTGGAAAGGACAGCATGAAAAATACATCCAATGCTAGGAAAAGACGTTTGCTGAAGAAATATGGGAGAAGATGGTTGCGAAAAACAATAAGGAAACCAAAAGGGTCGGGCCAAAACGTAGGTTGCTCATTTGATATATTATTCGATTTAAAATAATTAGTTTTTGGATGATGAAGACAGTGCTTGTATTTTTCATATTATCAATTTTGCTAACTACAGTGTATGGCAAAGATTTAAATATTACTAAAATATTTGCTAGAATCACAGCTCATTACTCATTACTGCTGTTTAGACCAAATTACTGGTTTGTTGAATTTTGAGGGTTGAAACATTGAGATGGGAGAAGATACAAGATGTGGCCTTATGCCCGGAAGTGACCATCTTTTGCATAGGCGTAGTCAAGGAGGGGGGGGGGGGGGGTGCGATATCATAACAAAATAAAAATACACAATGAGATGGAAGAAGAAAAGAGCTTTAAAATGATTTTTATTTGAAGCTTCTATCGTCAATTTTGAAGGAAGTTGCATCAATTATTGTAAAATCCAAGATAAATCTTTGACCAAATTGTTTAGCTCGTTATCAGCTTCAACATTTGTTAAACACGTGTTTCTTACTAAGAATGTCTTCATTTTTCAGAATCCCAAAATACCTAGACATCACTCAGATCCCGAAGAAGAACCTCCAGATCTCACTAATTTCATTTCAAAAATGCTCGAACAATACAGAACCCAAAAAGACGACAACAACCGCGATACCGATTTCCTGGAGTCAAAAACCAGAAAAAGCAAAAACATCGGCGGTAAATACTACGCCTCTACTGCCAAGCTATTTGCTACAGTGAACAATACTAAAGGAATCGGCGATAGGAAGAAGGCAACATCAGAAAACGTGGATATGATTCAGCGGCGGAGTCGGGGAAGGCGGGATGATAAACATTTCCGAAGGATGAGTGTTGTAATGCAAAACAGCGCAATGTTTGTACAAGGATTAGAATGGGAGAACACGGACGAACAAACGACACTTTGACACCTAGTGTGTGTACAAGTTATACTATAGAAACAATATTGACACATTTTGTAGACACAAGCCTGTAAGGTCAATCAAATGTTACACATGATTTCTAAGTTGTTGAATCTCCCAGCATTTCGTTCGGAGCAACCCTAGTCCTCTCCTGTGCAGATGTTAAAATTACCGGGAATATTAAATTAGTAGGTTGCTTCAATACACGATGTTGTTTTTTGAAAATGAAATATGTCCAAAAAATTGTCGCAAAATTCGTAAGGAATTGAGAGGAATGACGTTATATTATATTATTCCCCGAGTGATCCCCTTAAATAAATGATTTATTAATGAGGAACGCACTGAACAAATTGCTACGGAGAGTGCCAAACTGTAAAAATATATGAACGAGTCAAAAGAAGCTACTATATCGATATACTAGTAATAAAGAATCCCGTATCATTCTTTATATTCTTTATTGGAAATCTAAAAGTATTAATGCATGTTCTACTTACCCGTACACACGATGCACGAGGGCGAAGCCCGAGTGAGATAGACGTCATTGGCACATGCGTGAATGCCTCCAAATCTAGTAAAGAATGAAAAGGGGTTCTTTTTGCAATTCAAATTCACTGTCACTCCACTGTGTAAGGAAAGTCATTGTCCACCAATACGCACTGCATTTTATCAATAACGGCACTGCTCAGTTCATTAAGAAACCATAATTCTTTGTGAAATAATATTTCTGCTCAGTTGACCATATAACTTGAATTCAAGCACTAAAATACTCCAAACTGATTGGCTGAGACACACTTGGGATTTTTAAATATATTGTACGTCCATGAATATTTCTTTTACTACATAGTGCAGACGCAAGACATTTGTTTTACTTTCTATACACAGCGAATCGTCATCTGTAAATAGAAGAAGTAAAATCATTTGCAATCAAATCTTCAAAGCTTGAATAATAGTAGAAAACGTTTAAAATGATGGGCTGCATGTAAAAACGTTAAGGCCAATACGATAAAGAACTATACACAGTAATAATTTTGTGTATGGAGGAAGAAAATAAAACTTTTTACATACTGTACATTTATGTAAGGTTCCAATTTTTTGGACCACCTTGTATTTGAATCAATTTTACATGTCGGCGGTGGGTATTTTATAAAGTAGTTCTATCAAATGGACGTGCCAGTACCGTCCGTAATATCTTCAGAACGATTTCATCATTTGGATATATTTGACCGTAGGCAACGTGTTCATACGTGATGGGGCAAAATAATTCCTTGTTCACATTACAAGGGCGAATGAATCTGAAAAGAATGGAGCATTCGAAGAAAAGCAAGATATATTTGAAAGCACACCTAGTGGCATTGTTTATGATCAATGGATTCACTTTCCTATCATTTCATTATCTTGATATCTTTGAGATAACATTTATATAGCAGATATAAAAATTTTATTATCGCTATGAAATTATTGACATCATGAAACTCATCTTAAGCAGGTAAGAGATGATATTTTGATGAAAATTATCTTTAAAATAGATGAATTGTTCCTTATTACGGACGAACCACCCCTTTAACTACGAAAACGCATGTAACACAGCGGTTGAGATCGAGAGATTCAATTAGATAACAATCTGTATTATGTGTCCATCAGTTCAAATAATCCAAATTAGTTTATTTTTAAGGAAAGACAGCATTTTGAAGTTCTCTTTAAAATGGGTTATTGTTCCTAATTGCGAACCTACAACCCATTCTGATATGATAAAATTGCACACCGCAACGACACCGGTCGGGATACATTTCGTTGCCTGATACGATAATACTTTGCCATCTGTTCAAATACGAACCCACCGTCCATTTTACTAAGAAAACAATACGGCGATCGAGGTTTCATTCTTCATAGTCAGCATACATGTGTGTACATTTCCATCTATTTAGTGTCTTTATTCTCGGATTAGTCCTTGTGCCTATTCTGGCATGGGACGTCGCCAATCCAGAGGAAGATGAAGAATTTAATGACTTTCTGGCGTCGTTGAAGGAAGAAGATCTACCGACTGAACTCCGACGTGAGCTTAGACAAGTGAAAGGAGACAAGTAAGTGATCGTATAGTTCTCCATCGGGAGACAATGGGATATTTGATGTGGCTTTCTATCTCTGGTGCCCACTCTAGTGTTTTCGTGTTAGCACAGTTAAGAATGTATTAGAGAGTTTAAGCTTGCACTATTTTTCACAACGTAAACCTGAACGGGAAGTGAATGAATCAATATAGGAATGTATGCGCAAATATATTCTTGCATTTACACATATATGAAGTAACCACTGGTGATGTCGCGTTAGCACAGTAAAGACGATGTCAAATACTTACTCACAAATGTATTTTTCCATTTAGCAACCATTGGTGTTGTCGCGTTAGCACAGTAAAGACGATATCAAATACTTACTCACAAATGTATTTTTCCATTTAGCAACCACTGGTGTTGTCGCGTTAGCACAGTAAAGACGATATAAAATACTTACTCACAAATGTATTTTTCAATTTAGCAACCATTGGTGTTGTCGCGTTAGCACAGTAAAGACGATATCAAAAACTTACTCACAAATGTATTTTTCAATTTAGCAACCATTGGTGTTGTAGCGTTAGCACAGTAAAGACGATATCAAAAACTTACTCACAAATGTATTTTTCCATTTAGCAACCATTGGTGTTGTGACTGTTGTCGTGTTAGCACAGTGAAGACGATATCAAATATTAATTACTCACAAATATATTTTTCCATTTAGCAACCATTGGTGTTGTCGTGTTAGCACAGTAAAGACGATATCAAATACTTACTCACAAATAAGATACGTGCAGGATCAACACAGACGCAAATCTTACGGCAAATGTGGTCTCTGGGGTTGGAAAAGATGTAGTCGTTGGTCCACCACATACAGGTACACCCCCTCTTTAAGCATGGCAATCCGACGCCTTAATTTGATAGCATGTTAAAGCCTTTTTAAGTTTGAATCTCAATTTTGTTCTTCAATCAAGATAGTTTGGAAAATGACTTTGATGAATATCTTAAATTGCGAACCATAAAAATCGAATAGGCTAACACGTGATTCAAAAGGAGACTTCTGGTTGTGAGACTTATGGAAGAAACTCAAGATAACTTTTTCACTTTAAGGTAACACCAGTTTTCTCTCTCAAAATGGCGGAGGGTACCTGTAGAATTCAATATTTTTATTTTTTAGACAGTTTGTGTATATTGAATAAACCTGCTTTTCTGCCGTGGTTTAGAAACAATTTCAATAAAGATGGCAGTGAAATCAATATTTTATGATAGAATCAAGGAGGATTGACTCCCGGAGTGCAACGTCGTTATTCTGTACCATATATATGGGCATGTCGTCATACAAAATTCGAATTCAAACAGCCGCCATTTGGTTCACTTCAACATATGAATCGTGAAGTTTGGTCTTATTTCCGCACGAACAATTCCACAACTCACATGTAATGATCGACATATTTGTTAAACTCTTTTGAATTGTTTATTTTGAATTGACAGTCGGTTATAATATCAGAAAATGACGACATTTCGACGTTTTGTTGGAAAATATGGAGTTTCGATTATGAGGACCAATCCTCCTTGAGATAGAATATTAAAATTCTAACACTGCTGCCATCTTTATATCGGCCAGTCATTTTATCCTTTTTCTTTTTAGCCAAAGAGCAGTTTACGACACCAAATATGCATACAGAAATGTCAACGTCAGTTGCCCAGCCAATCACCTCGTATGTTGCAATGGCTACCATAAAGTAGCCAATCATTGTCTTCGTAAGTGTTTTTTTTATATCATGAATTCAAAATGACATTTTAAACTATTTCTGTAACCAAAAATATGGGTTGCAGTTAGTGAAATAAATAGTTTTATAGACTGTCTAGCGATTCTGAGAGAAATACTCGGACGTGTAATACTTGTTAATACATACTCCTTTCTAGACAGTTTAATTTTTTGTAATGTCATTTTATTAATTGTACGGTTGGGATTTTATTTTGCAGCTCTTGACAAGGTTGGGAATAATCTGGAGCATCTTGAGAAACTGAAGCAAGCAGGAAAACTCGGCAGAAAAAGAAAATAAACGATTTCCATTGGTAGAAACATTAGCGTATTAAGCATTCTTAAAATTGAAATGTCATCATTATTGAGTGTCTTTACAAATATATTAATTCTCTACTAATTTTAATTGTGATTTGGTGAGTGTTGATCACGTGATCATGAACACTAGATGAGTACCAAGGGTTGCAATCGAAATATTCGTCCGGTGTGGGTGAGCATGCTATTTTTCACAAAAAAACTAAGAAAACTTCACAAATTATTTGTAACTCAAATGTTTCGTTATACCAGAGAATATTACCTACACCACGCACTGGGTATCAGTGGCGTAGCCAGAAAGATAGAAATTGTATCGTTTGCGGGTGACCTTTTCACTTTTGTGACCTGCGGGTATGTCGTTTGCGGGATGACCCTTCACTTCCGTATGAAGTCCAATAACAATAGAACTAAAAGCTATCGAAAACAGCGCCAGGGTTTCATAATCTAGAAAAATCTATTAAACCTCAGTTCCACTGAGACTGTTTACCAACGACTATGTACTCGGATGAGAATGTGTACTGATGAAGGTGCATTCTGGTGAGGACATGTACTGACTAATGTGTTTTCTGTTGAGGATATGTACTGACTGAGGTGTACTCGGATGAGAGTGTGTACTGACGAAGGTACGTTCTGGTGAGGACATGTACTGATGAAGATGTACTCGGATGAGAGTTTGTATTGATAGGTACATTCTGGTGAGGACATGTTCTGACTAAGGTGCACTCGGATGAGAGTGTGTACTGACGAAGGTACATTCTGGTGAGGACATGTACTGATGAAGATGTACTCGGATAAAAGTGTGTACTGATGAAGGTACATTCTGGTGAGGACATGTACTGACGACGGTGTTTTTTGGTGAGGACATGTACTGACTAAGGTATACTCGGATGAGAGTGTGTACTGACGAAGGTACATTCTGGTGAGGACATGAACTGATGAAGGTGTACTCGGATGAGAGTTTGTATTGATAGGTACATTCTGGTGAGGACATGTTCTGACTAAGGTGCACTCGGATGAGAGTGTGTGTTGATGAAGGTACATTCTGGTGAGGACATGTACTGATGAAGGTGTACTCGGATAAGAGTGTGTACTGATAAAGGTAGATTCTCGCGAGGACATGTACTGTTGAAGGTGTACTCGGATAAGAGTGTGTACTGACGAAGGTACATTCTGGTGAGGACATGTACTGACGACGGTGTTTTTTGGTGAGGACATGTACTGACTAAGGTGTACTCGGATGAGAGTGTGTACTGACGAAGGTACATTCTGGTGAGGACATGTACTGATGAAGGTGTACTCGGATGAGAGTTTGTATTGATAGGTACATTCTGGTGAGGACATGTTCTGACTAAGGTGCACTCGGATGAGAGTGTGTGTTGATGAAGGTACATTCTGGTGAGGACATGTACTGATGAAGGTGTACTCGGATAAGAGTGTGTACTGATAAAGGTACATTCTTGTGAGGACATGTACTGATGACGGTGTTTTTTGGTGAGGACATGTACTGACTGAGTAAGGTGTACTCGGATGAGAGTGTGTACTGACGAAGGTACATTCTGGTGAGGACATGTATTGATGAAGGTGTACTCGGATGAGAGTTTGTATTGATAGGTACATTCTGGTGAGGACATGTTCTGACTAAGGTGCACTCGGATGAGAGTGTGTGTTGATGAAGGTACATTCTGGTGAGGACATGTACTGATGAAGGTGTACTCGGATAAGAGTGTGTACTGATAAAGGTAGATTCTCGCGAGGACATGTACTGTTGAAGGTGTACTCGGATAAGAGTGTGTACTGACGAAGGTACATTCTGGTGAGGACATGTACTGACGACGGTGTTTTTTGGTGAGGACATGTACTGACTAAGGTGTACTCGGATGAGAGTGTGTACTGACGAAGGTACATTCTGGTGAGGACATGTACTGATGAAGGTGTACTCGGATTAGAGTTTGTATTGATAGGTACATTCTGGTGAGGACATGTTCTGACTAAGGTGCACTCGGATGAGAGTGTGTGTTGATGAAGGTACATTCTGGTGAGGACATGTACTGATGAAGGTGTACTCGGATGAGAATTTGTACTGATAGGTACATTCTGGTGAGGACATGTACTGACTGGGGGTGTGCTCGGGTAAGAGTGTGTACTGAAGCCTTGGAACATATGGTATTGTTGTGGCAAAAACAAAATGAAAAAACATGTACACATATTTGCTTTTCCATAATTACTGTAGCAAGAGATATCTGTAACAAGTAACGAGTTTGGAAAGGTGTATTATCGTTGTCGTAATAGGGAGGTTAAGATTAGCGTAAAAATATAGGTAGAGCTATCCCTATCCGTATGTTTGTTACGGATACTTAAATGCGCTTTCTAAAATGAGTTTAAGATTAACGTAAAGGGCTACAAAATCGTATTCAACAATTTATGATAAAAATGACAAGCTAAGTTAAGGATAAAAACCTTGCGGTGGTGAGTTTGGCGTTAGTTTCCCATTATATGTCACCACTTAGAACTGTTTTTACATTTCAGAGAGAAGGGCGTGGTGTAGCTACTGTAATGAGAGGGGGTGTTGCTAATGGGGCAGTGACTTAAGGCGAAATGTTAAATTTCTAGCATACCCAGCAATGAGAATGACAAAATAGTAAAATTAAACAAATAAAAGCAATTTTGTACATTCACAGTAAGCAATTCAATTCAATTCAATTTATTTATTTCATAATTCTTATATAATATACACTATAAAAACAAAGCAAAACAAAAATTGATGAAGAATGTGTAAATTTAACAATGTTATGCATCATCACATGGCATCGTTTATCGCATTATAATGGTTATGTTCGACCACTTAATTACTATGCAGATCGAATAATAAATGTTTATTGTCACTAATTCAAAGTTTAAAGTCCCCATATAAAGTTTAAACCACTTTGGCTTATATTGTAGTCTTACCCAATGTTATCAAAGTGTGATATGTGAAACTTTTTTTTATATTTCAAAAAGTGGTTTTTGAAGGACTTTTTGTTCAAAAATTTATGATTTTATTTAAAACTAACTTTTAGAGGTCACGCATATCTTTTGATTAGCCACAACGCATACCAATGCTTAGCATTCATCCATTCTTCCTTTTATCCTGGTTAGGCAATCAACATTGGTTTATTATATTGAAGTTTAGCATATTTAGAAAAGATTGACATCGTAAAAAACTTTCAATTTTTTCAAAAAGTTTTTGCCACCTGAGTGACATTACTAATGTTGCAAAGTATTTTTGATATGCTAACACATTGAAGTGGCCCATAAAATATGGCATTTTATTATTGAAATAGTGTGTTCTTTGTTCAATTTTTGCTTTGGTGTTAAAAAAGATAATCTTTTTTTGAAATGCATTAAGAAATATTTGATGATTAAAAAATTTCAATTTTTTTGAAAAATGGCGGAACATTTGAATATTTGAAAAATGAAATGCTCCTAGGGACTATTTCTTGCGAAATCGCTTGAATTTCCAGAAACATATAATGCTTATCCATATTTGTGCCTAGAAGATAGGGATGAGTTATGCTATAGGGAGTTTTATATTAACGTAATAACCCATTAGTTAATGAAAACACAGAATGAAATCCTGTGCTAAGGGCTGATGTGAAAAAGTCAGTCCACCCCAGTGGGGATCG